AAGGAGGTATATGACCTAGGCCGACCTTTCGGTACCTCTCTGAGAATTTCAAATGGGATTTAGAGAGAAGTAGTCCTTTCATGAAGAGATTTCTAAAGCGAGGTTCTCCAGGGTAGAAGTTTGCAGTCTCTAGTAAGATGGAAAGCAGACTCAGAGAGAAGCACAGCTTAGAGTTGGATGGAGAAAGACTCTAGCCACGTCCTTGTTTCTGTGATCCTTGAGGCCCATGCCCTTCCTGAGATTTTGCTACTCAGGTCAGTATGTATTTCCTGGTTTGCCCAAGGTGGTTAAGATCGGGTTTCTGTTCTTTGCAACCAAATGAGTTCTTGCTTCAGTAGAGTGTCCCTTTTCCCACCCCCATAGTCTTCTCCCCTGAGAAGAGCAGAAGAAAGTGCTTTTGGACCTATGATTTGAGATCATCTTTTGGGATCCTCAGAGGCACTGGTATAAGAAGAAAAATCCCATCTTCTAGTGCCCTCCGCTAACACTACCTGGGAAGTATTGAGGGGGTGAAGGAGAGTTGTGCACACAAACATACACACACCTGTTAAGCTTTTTTGCCAACACAATAATATTTATTGAAGGTCTATTATATTTCAGGCACTTTTACAAACATCTGTTCCGCATTAGTCCAAGAAAGTAGATTTTGCTGATTATAAATGAGATAATATGTTTCAGATAAAAGATGTCAAATATTAGTTTTTCCAAAATGGAAAAGTTATGAGCAAAAACTCTAATTTTGTGCACCTTTTCTTTTTTTTTAATGTTTTATTTAGATTCAATTTAGTTAACATATAGTGTGTTATTAGTTTCAGGGGTAGAATTCAGTGAATCATCAACACCCAGTGCTCATTACATAAAGTGCCCTCCCTAATGCCCATCACCCAATTATCCCTTCCCTCCACCCTGTGCACCCTTCTGTACCTTATCCAGGTTTAACCACCATTTGGATGTTTTGTGTTTTTTTTTGCCTTCATATTACCCCCAGAAACTTAAAACAAGATTTCGAGTGCAAATGCTATTACAGGATTACTATTTGAATGACTTGTTTCTAAAGACATTTTGAGAAAGATGATAAAAAACGAACAAAAATCCAAATCAAGTATAACTAAGTAGCGTGACTTGCCTTGAAATTCTAGCTTTATTCATATAAGTTTGTGTCCTCCAAAGAAACGAACTGGAACAAGTCAGCCCAAATCCATATAAACAGACTTAAGTTCAGGAGAGTTGTGGTGCTAAAAGCATTAATTCCACTTTTGATTATTACTTTGAAACCTGGGCAATTAGTGTTTGTCCAGTAATTTCTCATGTGTTTTTCCCCTCGTCTTCCTGGGGAAAGCGGTTACAACAGTTTAGAGCTCTCTTCTGAAGAAATTTCCACACTGGCAAAGATACCAGCTTTTCACTTTCATTGTGGGTGGTCTGGCACACAAATTCCCCAGTGGCTGAGAATCTGGAGCCTGGCTGGGCCTCCCATAAGCTGCAGTATTAAACATTTTTATATGTAACTTAAGATGTGAACTGTTATAATTAAAAATAGGTAATTAGGTTTCTCCCATTAGAAAATTGTAAGGAATTCCAGCATATTCTGTTAAGACTATAAGTCTGTGTCATAAATTAAATTTCTTCTTGCTCACTTAAAAAAAATGTAGTATCTTGATTCCGGACTTCCTCTTTCCTTTTTTATCCTTTCTTCTATGCCCTTCTAATGTTTTTTTCTTAATTATTAAATACATGCATATTTAAATTACAGTTCATAATATGTTTTTGTTTTCTAAATAATTCATTTATTTAATAAAAAAGTTATCAAACACTACGCTAGGAACAATACAGGATAGGAAGGTAATAATTATTTATTAAGATAAGTGTTTTATACCCAACACCTCATTAATGATGACAACACATCTGTGAAATAGGCATTCATTCCCATTTTCCAGATGAAGAAACTGAAATGCCAAGAGATTAGTTAATTTGCCACAAATCACATAATTAGAAACTGGTAAAATCAAATTTAAATCTGGAATTGTTTGACCTCCAAAAGTTTTTCTCTTGACCACACTATACTGTGTCCCTATTCACCACCGCAAACCAAGGTAGAATACTTACCCAACTCATTCCATGATGGTTCCAACTCAGGAACAACCACCTCTAAGTAAAGTAGATGTGCTAACTACTATACATGGGATGATATAATCTATGTTCTCAGGAAGCTTAAAATATATAAGAAGAGATAAATCACGTAAGCATACAACTGAAACCTAAGTCAATTCAGTAAGTACCTTAGGAGTGGTACAAAGTACCCTGGACTTTCAGAAAAGAGTGAGAACACTTCTGGCTGGAAGGATTAAAGCATGTTTGAGATTCTTTTTGATTTTGGTTTTGAAAGTTGGGCAGGGTTTTAATGGAAGCGAAGGGAGAACATTCAGGCAGAGGGAAAATGCAATACAGATTTAATGGTAGATGGGGGATGAGTTTGGCAGACAGAATAATCCAGCATGTCAAAGTAGTAGAAGGTAAGGCTGGAAAGCTAAATTGTGGCTAGAATGTGGCAGACAGTGGAACTAGACTAAGAAGTTTCGAGTTAATTGTGTAGGCACTGAGTAGATGGAAGTGAGGTTTTTGAGCAGAATAATGGATGGATAGATGCTATACTTTAGTAAGTTAATGTGGCAAGGATGTGTAACCAAACTACAAAGAGAGGTAAACTAAAAGGTTTAAACTGGGGTATGGTAGAGATAAAGGAAAAGGTAGAGCTGAGAAAGATAGCCTAAAGACTACATTGGATGAGAGGGTTTCGGGAAAGGACAAATTCAACAAACAAAGTTTTTGAGGTTTTTTTTTTTTAAAGCTTTTATTTATTTATTTGAGAGAGAGCACAGCAGGGTGAAGGGAAGAGGGAGAAGCGGGCTCCCTGCTCAGCAGGGAGCCCGACGTGGGGCTTGGTCCTGGGACTCCAGGATCATGACCTGAGCCAAAGGCAGATGCTTAGCCAACTAAGCCACCCAATTGTCCCTAAAGTTTTTGAGTTTATGTGATTGACTGAATGATGAGCCCATTAGCAGAAATAGAGAAATGCTATTCATCTAAAGAACTGTTTGCCTAAGTTAGGTGAACAAGAAAAGTAATCATGGCAAAGCACACATAGTGAGGAATATAGTTTTGGAATTCCAATGTTGGGAAGACCAGATTTTCCTGGTAGAGAGGTCACCAACTGACATGTTCAACCAAGACTGATCTTACTGAGAAGGTAAACTGATGGCAACCTATTATGGTTGTAAGGCAGCCAAAAGCTTGCCCATAACTTTTCACTTATTTGTCAACTGTATCAGAAAATCCACATCATTAGATGCCCTAATATGGATTCAGGCATTGACAACATTCCCTAAATGTTATTAGACTGTCTTATTTAAAAATAGTCAACTTTTGTTTGAATAGCAGGAGATTGAAAAAGATCCCCATCTTGGAACACTAAGGGAAGACTTCTGTAGGGTAACTGGGTACCAAGAAACCAGTAATTGGATACCAAGAAACTTGGGAGAGGGGAATTCATGATCTGTCAATAATTTATTAGCCAATTCACCAGTTAAAAATATTTGTTAAGGATCTATGAGCATAGAGTATTTTGCTAAGTCCAATGGACTTATAAGGACAAAACCATTGTTTCTACTCTTAAGGAGTGAGCAAAGGATAAGGAATTTTTCCCACCATAACTTTGCCAAAGGCTGATATTTTGTATACAGCCCTAGCTAATAAGTTATGTTTCAAGTTTTCACACTAGATAATTTAAAACATTGTAGTCTTCAGTACTCATTTTTGAGGATTTTGCCTAATTAGCCAATCTTTCAAAATATATTAGAATTCCTGATGAAGTTGGAGCTGCCCACTGTTTAGCATACTATATTTTTATGTGCATGGGAAAATGGATCCTTATTTATATTTGACAGAAAATGAATTAATGTGTCATTTCTAGAATGGTCCAGGTGAAGATATATGTACTTATTTTATCAACTAAATGGTCTAAATAGGTCTAGAGACACAAATGTTTAGCAACATTTTTATCAATAAATTGCATTTTTTTTTAAAAATTCCATCACCTATCATACTTACCAATAATTCAAAGCTGTGGAGTGTTGTTCATATGACAGAATTAAAATTCAAAAAGATCGGGTGCCTAGGTGGCTCAGTCAGTTAAGCAACTGAGTCTTGGTTTTGGCTCAGATAATAATCTCAGAGTAGAGGGATTGAGCCCAAGTCAGGCTCCACACTCAGTGGGGAGTCTGCTGAGATTCTCTCCCTCTGCCCCTCCCCCTGCTTGCTCGCTCTCTAAAATAATAAATAAATCTTTAAAAAAAATTCAAAAAGATCCAAAAAGGTTGGAATACAGAATTGAAACTACAATTGCAATTTAATGACAAATATGGGTAATTTTTAGATTTACAAAATCAGTAAGTACCAAAATGGATGAAGCTGGCTTAACAGGATTTCCTAAAAATTAAATTATCCAAGATTTTAGTGGACGCAGTAGCCAGCCTTCATGAACCCAATGATTCCAGGCTCCTATAATTGACATCTTCTTGCAGTCCCCTCCCACAATGAATAAAATTAACCTACATAGCTAATAGGATATTGTGGAAATGATGATGCATGGCTTCCAAGGCTAGAAAAGGAAACAATGCTAAAACAAAGAAATGGTTTCCAAACAAAGATCAAATCCAGGCTCCGCCAGGCAACTACGGTATGAAAATGAATCTGAGGGTAGAGCAGTAAAATCCTTTGCTAAGACCTTAGAAAGATATGGGGCACTTGGGTGGCTCAGTCGTTAAGCGTCTGCCTTCCGCTCAGGTCATGATCCCAGGGTCCTGGGATCTAGCCCTGCATCCCTCTCCCTGCTCCACAAAGAGCCTGCTTCTCCCTCTCTCACTCCCCCTGCTTGTGTTCCCTCTCTCGCTGTGTCTCTCTCTGTCAAATAAATAAATACAATCTTTTCTTTTTTTTTAAAGAAGACCTTAGAAAGATCTAAGGTTATGACTCAAGAGAGCCATCCAGTGGCTTCATCCCCATCCGGACCTGGTTAAGATGACAAGATTGTAGACTTTGAGATGGTGCTGTAAGGGGATGAGATGTTTGGTGGCCTTGAGAAGGTGAGAGTTTAATTTCCCTGTGGGAGGGAGTTTAGTCATTGCGGGATAGAGGATGGACTCTAGTATCAGCCTGTGACATGGCCCCCAAATAATCCTTGCTCCCTGACATTCATGCCTCTGTATAGTCCCCTCCCACCGGATAGGGATAACCTGTGTAACCGATAGTATATTATAAAAATGACAATGTGTAGCTTTCAAGACTAGGACATAAAAGATATTGTAGCTTCTGCCTTGCTCTCTCTTGGATCATTCACTCTGGAGCAGTCAGATATCATGTCATGTCATGAGGACCCTCAAGAAGCCCGAAGGACAGGTCCATGTGGTAAGGAACTGAGCCATAATGAACTTCACTGCCATATAAGTGAGCCATGTTAGAAGCAGATCCTCCAGCCCCAGCCAGATTTTCAGAGGACTGTAGCCCTAGCTGAGATTTAGCTGTAATCTCATGAGAGACATTGAACCAAGGACTACCCAGCTAAGATATTCTCAAATTCCTGAGCCACAGAAATTGTGTAAGATAATAAATATTTGTTGTTATCTTCAGCCACTAAGGGTTTTTTAAAAAAATATTTATTTTTAATTTTTTTAAGAGACAGAAAGAGAGAGAGAGAGCACACGCACACAGCAGGGGTTCGGGCAGAGGGAGAGAATCTTAAGCAGACTCTGTGCTGAGTGTGGAGCCCAACATGGGGCTCAATCTCACAAACCTGAGATCATGACCTCAGCTGAAACCAAGAGTTGAACGCTCAACCAACTGAGCCACCCAAGTGCCCCTTTTAAGATTTTATTTTTAAGTAATCTCTAAACCCAAAGTGGGGCTCAAATTTGCAACCCCAAGATCAAGACTCACATGCTCCACTGATGGAGCCAGCCAGGAGCCCCATTCGGCTGCTAAGTTTTGAGGTAATTTTTATGCAGCAACAGATAACTAATACAGTGAACTACAATCTCATCATGAGGCAGTAATATGAACTGGCTGCTTAAAAATATTATGTGTTTTTCAACTGCGTCAATTAAATAAGGTTTCCACATCAACTATGGTAACTGTCCATTTCTAGACTTACATCAATTTAAGATACTGTATATGGTCTGAGTCACATACTTTGAAAGACATTGGAAAAGTCACTGAGAGTACCAAAGGCCAATCAGGATAGTGAAAACAACACAATATAACATAAAGAGGTTCTGAGAACAACTGGTGATACCCTGAGTAGACTTAGGGGTGACATAGCATTTGTACATGTGTTTAAAGCAATAGCACAGGAAACATGTAATAAGTATATCCTGCATATACTGTGTTTCTTCAAAGGGGAGGAGAAGAACGGAAGGCTAAAAGTTATAGAAGGTAGATTTTAAATAGCCTATGAAAGCATCTTTTGATGCCTCCAATTCTCTCTCTCCTTTTTTTAAGATTTTATTTATTCATGTGAGACACAGATACAGAGAGAAAGAGCGCGCATGAGCAGGGGGAGGGGAAGTGGCAGGCTCCCTGCTGAGTCAGGAGCCCGATGCAGCTCTCGATCCCAGGACCCTGGGACCATGACCTGAGCCGAAGGCAGACGCTTAACCCTCTGAGCCACGCAGGCGCCCCAATGCTTCCAATTCTCTAAAAAAATAATGATTTCCTCATTGGAAGAGTTGAAACACAGGCTAGATTATCACCTATAAAAAAATGCAGTACCGAAAAATCCTGGACTAAAATGTTGGATAAACTTTGCAAAATGGCTTAAGGCTGCTTTCCCGTCTGATCTAAAATACATTTGTTCAGTTCCCTGAAATAAATAGCAGATTTTTAGGAATTCCCTTACACAAACTCCAGAGTCTTATAGAAGTTTCGTCATAGGTAACACAGTGGACATGTTGCAGATCCATGGAATGTTATTAGTGTTTTCCCACTTGCATGACTATCTAGAAACAAAGCAGAAAGACAACTACAGAGGAAAGATACCTCTTGTTCTCTCTGTTTTGTGTGAAGATTAAAAAAAAATATTTCTCTGGGATAGGTGTAGTCTCTGAAGTGAAGATTCAGACTCAGCTTTGGCCACATTTTAAAGAAGAACATTGTAGATTAGAATGATTTATAAGATTTAAAGTCAACTTGCCTATCATAAAATACAAAGAAGGTAAGCATAAATCATTTTCTCTACTGGGAGTCATTTCATTATCTATTGTTTGAGGTTCATCTAGAGGGTCCATTACATGCCATGCATGTAAGGGTTAAGCTTTTAATCAGCTAATCAAAGTCATGTAATTGCTGATGACAGAGTTGGGGAAAGAATGGAGGATTCTTAACTCTTAATTCTTAATTCACAGTTTTGGGGTCTCCTAAGAGCTTTATTATTTTTTCTTGAATAATAAAAATAAAATACACAGAAGATGAGTAAATGTCCTCATCAAAAATATCTTAGGAATGGGGTGCCTGGGTGGCTCAGTCGGTTAAGCATCTGCCTTCAGATCAGGTCACGATCCCAGAGTCCTGGGATCAAGGCCCTGCCAGGCTCTCTGCTCAGCAGGAGCCTGCTTCTCCCTCTCCCTGCAGCTCCCCCCCTGCTTGAACTCTCTCTCTCTCTGTCAAATAAATAAATAAAATCTTCTAAAAAAATCTTAGGAATTATTGCTATGATAATATTTACAATTATAAAAACAACATGTCTGTAATACTTTACTTATTACATAATTGTGTCTAATGTAATAATATTTTTAAAGTAGAAATGTGGAAAACAAAACCACAGTATTTTACCAATTGTCTCTGAAGTTATTAAATAAGCTTTTCTCAGTTTTACCATCTATAAATTGGGATTAATATTTATGTACAACATATAAGAATGTTATGCAAAAATTGACTTATCTATTGTGCTTTGAAGATGAAGATCCTGATAATTGTGAAATATTTTTAAAGAACAGTTTCATCCTCAAATTTATTAAGACAGTAATCATATTTCCACTAGAATAATGTATATTAAAATGCCAAACTTAAGTCTGAAGTAAACATTTTTTTTTTGATGTTGCACAGGCTCAGTGTTCTGAGCTCTTCCCCAAGAATGTAAAAACCCATTTGTAAGTTGCTGTCTTAGAAAAATTTTATGTTCAAGGTCTTTTCTTATCATTGCTCCTCCGGGCTAAGCCTCCTAAGTTATTTTTCTATCATCATTATTTTTATTTTATATTACCAGCTAGATTAAATAGAAAATCATATATAAGGCAAAGTATTCATAAATACATCAACATTCAAACATGGATACTTGCCTTTCAAAACATTAGTTAGCATGCCAAGATTTTTAGATTGTAGTTTAAAGTTCTTAAGTTCTTTGCTTTATAGTTATAAAGGCGGAGGGGGAATGGCTGCTTTTTTCACTTCTTACAAAATATGTCCCTAGTCTATGAGCCTTCACCAGTCCCTGGGATCCTCTGGGATTAACATTTATAAGCTGAAGATACACAAAAAGTGAAGGGCCAAAGCTTTCCAAATAGGTATAAATTTGTTATCCTTGCATTGTAAAATGAGGTAATCTTAGTTATTATTGAGGAGAAGGGAGAACACTCATTTTCAACATATTTTGCAATTAAATTCAGTTTCTTGAAAAACTGAATTGGTCTGGGTTTAGAATTTGGAAAATTTATAAGAAAGTGTATTTCTGATAATGATAGGAGAATCCACTTTTAATATTGGATGGCTATTTATGTGCATCAATATTAAACATTTAAAATACTGAAAAATTAATATATTTAGTTCCCTTCTTAGAAAGGCTGATGGCTTTTTAATTCTAAAGCCACTGTTAAACTATGTTTGAAGATTTATTCTAAGGACATCATAGCATGAACTAAGTAAAACATGGTCAGAATGTCTTGGAATATACATTTTTTATTGCTATGTATTTATTTTCTATAATAAGAGCTAACCTCATATAACTTTAAAAGAAAAATTTTAAAATGCAGAATGAATGGATTCCTATTTTCTCAACTATCTCTACAAATTATATGCCCGTAACAAAATATCTCATTGGTATTGAGATATAGGATACTTATGAAAATTCAATATTCCTTTTTTTTAAGTCATAGTTTAAAGTGAGTTTTCAGTGTTTGACTTCAAAGAAAATTAGTCCATTCTCAACTTGTGTAATCCTTACCCCAATCTATTTCAATTGTGGTTCTTCCTTCGTGGCTCTGATATTTACACTTTATAGCATGATAATATTTGAAATGATGCTATCAGTACAACAAAAAATATACATGTTCATATTTTAGAATATAATTTCATAGACACTTTGATACATTATTATACTTCATAAAAGCCTATGGTTAACCCAGTACATTATAACACTGTAGAAATATATACTATTTTAGATGGTGCAATGGGAAAGGAGAGATTTGGTGTGGAAAACACTGACCATTACCAGGTATTCATCGGTCACCTTTTTTCTTCATTCTTGAGCAGAAACAAGATTAAATCCATCAATTCAATAGCACAAGTATTCAGATTGCATTTTTTGCAGAAGTGTTTTAAGGAAAAGAGTTCGGGGAATGTAGTTTGGAGAACATCTGGCCCATCCACATACAAATAAATAGTAGTAAATACTTGACTTGGAGCTGCCAGAATCGACAATTTATATTCTAAACATGTCTTATATATTGGAAGACTCTAAAACTTTTCTTTAAACTTTGAGCTTTTGTGATGGTTTTCCAGAAATAAAAAAAAAAGGAAGACATGCCATTCCTCTCAGTAAAAGACTTTAGCTTTTTAAATATATAGTTTTCTTTTTAAACATAAATAGAATTAAATTATTGTGGAACATTTTATTTTAAAAGGATCACTAGATTGTGAGCTAACTTGGATCTTATTTATCTTTGTATCCCCAGATCCTAACAGTATTCAGTACCAGGCAGAAATTCACTAAATATGTATTGAATGAAATATTTCACAAATAAAATAAAACTATCATTTAAAAAAATTTAACATCTTTAGTATTATTAAAATATGACATTAATTCAATGATAACAGCTAAAGTTTATCTTCAGTGGCCAAATCTATATCATTAAAATTAACATTTAACAGGCAATAAAAACTTAATACAATTAGGCACAATTGTATAAATACTATTTATTAATTCCATATTAATTTTTCTTAAAAATGGTTTTTTGGCTAAAATCCTGAGTATTAGATATATCAAATAGGATGCAAATCTAAATGAATTGAAGTTAAGTCACAAACAACCAAGATATAAAAATGTATAAGAAGTGTGAATTGGTCTGAACATCTGTCACTTATGTTGCTAACTAGAATAAGTTATCTTTATTTCACTGAATCTGGAGTTTATTTGAATTTATACCAGACACTTGGAAACTGGCTCTTGTTACTACGATGGCTGTTAATGGATAAGATGCTGTGACACTTTTAGTAGGCAGTAATTTCTTGTCTAAAAGTACAAATGTGTGAAAATTAAAACAAAATGGGGATGCTGATCGATGTTCAGCTTGAGTATTACTACCTTGGACTTAGTCTGTTTTCAAATTCTCTTTTCTTTTCAGATGTTTTAAGAAAACCTCCCAATAACCCTTGAAATGACAGTACATCTTTACTGGGATCTCTCTCCTGAATTATGCTTATTTTTATTCTCGAATTATGTTAAGGATCCAGATCTACTCTAGGACTACTGACTACATAGAGCTAAGTAATACTAGTTTACTGAAAAGAATTGCTCCCTCTAGTGAATTCACACTATTACTTCACTTTTTGGCACTGCGGCATTGCATAATTTAATAAATGATATAAATGATGATGACTACAGGTTGATGATAGTGGTCTGGCCTACTTTTGTGATATTACAGTTTAATGTTTTCCGTGCTTGCATATAGGGAAGTTTTATAATGATTGATTAGAGCTGCTTGCTGGATATTTTAGAACACTACATTGAAAAACCCTGCGTTGAAAAACGATTGACTTCTAAAACTCTTCAGATTACTTTTGAAACACCCATGTTATTTTGATGGCTATGGCCCTGTTGACATTAGCAAAGTAAAGAGGGGGAATTAAAGCAATTGTCCTAATAATTAAAAGTGTGTCCTGGTGGAAATAAGTTTAACTGGAAATGTAATTCCAGATACAATGCTTGTCTTTGCTTTGGTTACCATACACCTCAGAAAAATTATACATCATTAACCTTATTCCTCTCTACTGGTCAGAAAGGCTATGCAACTAGTGATACAGATATAAAGATACTGGAAACTTTTTGGAGTTTTATTTAAATTTCTATTACAGTACCTGAATATAAAGTAACTTAGTGGGGCTGCTGCAAAAAGAAGAGCGTTGTTTAATTCCCAATCTGTTAATGCAGACCTTGCCTTAAAATACTTCATTTTAAATCACAGGAAGGAGACATTAAAATCGAGTTACAGCTGATACCTTTAAATGTGACAATAATAATTGGACAAAACAAACGAAATTGGGCAGGGCTCACTTTTTCTTCAAAAGCAGGATTCCATTTTCTGGGTAAGTTGAGTTACCTGGATAATTATTTCTGCACTGGACCACTCTGTCTGGCTAGGCAAACCCTTTTTACAATGTAATTTCAGTGAAGATAGCAATGTAATTTCAGTGAAGATATTTCTGCTATCTTCACGGGGTTACCAATCCTGCCGAGTTATTGTTTTTCTGTATCAATAAGAGTAACTCCATCAAGTTTTATGTAGTTTTCACCTTCCAAGTGCTTAGCAAATATTAATTCATTATTGCAGCACTCCTATGAGGAGGTAGGAATTTTTAATACATAAAATATAATAAAATATACTCTAGATTAATTTACTTGAAAGCACCTGTGAAAGACAAGCAGAGTAACTCTAAAAAATTAAATGATTATATTAATTATATGAAAGAAGGTAATACTGTTTTATGATTCACTCTCCCTTGAAGTAATTTCAGGAGGAACTCATGGGAGTTAGGGGTTTGCCGTGGTTTAAAACATTTTGTCTCCACTCCCCTCTTTCAAGGGAAGGAACTATTAACAGTACTTGCACTGGGACGTGACTAAATCCAGGCAAGATGCAACCCTCGTCTCACGCCGCACCGGGCCGCCCCTGCCCGTCCCCTTTCCCTTCCGGGGGGTCATCAGCCCCCCAAGAGCAGAAGCCCCGCCCCGAATGCGGGGCAAGCGCCTGTGGCCCCACTTGGCCGCTGGCCTGGTGGGTGAGGCGGAGATTCCGGTCCGGGAAGCCCGGTTAGGTCCCGGCCCCCGGGTTTCGGTTACCTCTGCGCCTTTCCCGAAGCTTCCTTCTTCCTCTCCACGACCAAGCGCGCCATTTATTTTTGAGAAGCCTGAAGCTTCGTCCTCGTGCCCTGGGCCTCTCCGTCCTTGTTGCGAGGTGGAGCGGCGCTCTGACCTGGGGAAGGATGGGCCCGACTCGGGAGGCTCGCAGTCTTGCGACAGAGGCCCGCCTGGCGGGCTGGGCATGGTGGAGGCGGCTGCAGCCTCTGGCTCCCGGCAGGCGGAGGCGCGGGGCCCGCGGGGGGCCGGACGTCAGGACCCGAGGAGGGAGCGGAGAAGGCCGTCATCTGAGGCCCCTGCGAACCAGGAGGCGTAGTCACACGCCAGGAAGCCGTGCGAGGTTTGCGGCCTTTACTGTTTCCAACGTTCCCAAATGGTGGGGCCTGAGGACTCGTCGAGGGGGGCGCTGAGAGGTCAAACTGTGTGCTTGGCCTCTCTCGTGGAGCAGCTTGTGTCTTATCCGCAGCCCCCAGCTCGTGTCACAGCTCTCAGAGATTTTCCCAACTCCCTGGCGCTGTCCTCCGTGGGAACTTAAAAAATGCCTGCCCTGGATGTTCATAGGCTTTCTGGCGGTAGGTTCCTGTAGACGGTGGGTCGCGTTGAGCGTTGCCAACCCCATAGCAGTGGAGCTGTCCTTACAGCTGCCCTTACATCCCAGCACCACTGAGTGAGTTTCATCCAAAGGCAGTATCAATACGTGTCTTTGTAGCAATAATTGATGAGGAAAAACAGTCTACTGATTCATTCATTTTTAATTTCATGAGTGGTGAGAAATCAAGGCTTTGAAATGAGTAGATTCGAGTTCCGAGGAAACAGAAGTACAGGGAAGAAAACATTTGGTACATTCCCAGCCTTTCTGTTGCACTGTCGGAGAGAGGGGCCCACTTTGAAAAGATGACGTGAGATTCAGGGAAGTTCATTGTTTCTTGGGCGGAAGAGATATTTCTATTTTCCTCTCGGAGTATTTCTACTTTGGGTCACTCCTGGTTTAGAGAGACATTTAAAGGGACATTTGGCGCCCAAATAAAAAGGGGCGCCTGGGTGGTTCAGTGGGTGAAGCTTCTGCCTTCTGCTCAGGTCATGGTCTCAGGGTCCTGGGATCAAGCCCTGCTTGCAGCTCCCTGCTTAGTAGGGAGTCTGCTTCTTCCTCTTCCTCTATCCCTCCGTTCATGCTCTCTCTTTCTCTCAAATAAATAAATAAAGTCTTTAAAAAATAGAGAGAGAAAAGATTAAGTGAGCTCATCAAACCCATCTGTCTTCATTCAGGTTTTTGTCAGTGGTTTCATTCCTTACAATAAAATATTCCCCCCACCCGCCATCTCAGAGTTCAGATAATAGCTCAATCAGTTAGTAGCCCATCTCCATCTACAAAGAATTTGAGGTGGTTTTTAAAATTAGGCATAAAAAGAAGAAAACAGATATAGCTATTAAGAGTACTCAAGGTGGTGCCCCCAGCTTTGTTTTTCTTTTTCAACATTTCCTCGGCGATGTGGGGTCTTTTCTGATTCCATACAAATTTTAGGATTGTTTGTTCCAGCACTTTGAAAAATGTCGTTGGAATTTTGATCGGGATGGCGTTGAAGGTGTAGATTGCTCTGGGCAGCATAGACATTTTAACAATGTTTATTCTTCCAATCCATGAGCATGGAATGTTTTTCCATCTTTTTGTGTCTTCTTCAATTTCTTTCATGAGTGTTCTGTAGTTCCTAGAGTATAGATCCTTTACCTCTTTGGTTAGGTTTATTCCGAGGTATCTTATGGTTTTTGGTGCTATTGTAAATGGAATCAATTCTCTAATTTCTCTTTCTACAGTTGCATTGTTAGTGTATAAGAAAGCAGCCGATTTCTGTGCATTGATTTTGTATCCTGCCACATTACTGAATTGCTGTATGGGTTCCAGTAATTTGGGGGTGGAGTCTTTTTGATTTTCCACATAAAGTATCATGTCATCTGCAAAGAGAGACAGTGTGACTTCTTCTTTGCCAATTTGAATACCTTTTATTTCTTTCTGTTGTCTGATTGCTGTTGCTAGGACTTCTAGTACTCTGTTGAACAATAGTGGTGAGAGTGGGCATCCTTGTCGTGTTCCTGATCTTAAGGGAAAGGCTCTCAGCTTTTCCCCATTGAGGATGATATTCGCTGTGGGTTTTTCATGAATTGATTTTAGCAACTTGAGGAATGTTCCCTCTATCCCTATACTCAGAAGAGTTTTAATCAGGAAGGGATACTGTATTTTGTCAAATGCTTTTTCTGCATCAATTGAGAGGACCATATGGTTCTTCTCTCTCCTCTTATTAATGTGTTCTATCACATTGATTGATTTGCGAATGTTGAACCAACCTTGCATCCCGGGGATAAATCCCACTTGGTCGTGGTGGATGATCCTTCTAATGTATTGTTGGATCCTATTAGCTAGGATTTTGTTGAGAATTTTGGAATCCATATTCATCAGAGATATCGGTCTGAAATTCTCCTTTTTGGTGGGGTCTTTGCCTGGTTTGGGGATTAAGGTAATGCTGGCCTCATAGAATGAGTCTGGAAGTTTTCCTTCTTCTGTTTTTTGAAACAGCTTCAGGAGAATAGGTATTATTTCTTTGAGTGTTTGGTAGAATTCTGCAGGGAATCCATCAGGCCCTGGACTCTTGTTTTTTGGGAGGTTTTTGATCACTGCTTCAATCTCGTTACTGGTTATTGGCCTGTTCAGGTTGTCAATTTCTTCCTGTTTCAGTCTTGGTAGTTTATAGGTTTCCAGGAAGGCATCCATTTCTTCCAGGTTGCTTAATTTATTGGCATATAGTTGTTTTGCCTGATTTCAAGCTATATTACAAAGCCGTGATCACGAAGACAGCATGGTACTGCCACAAAAGTAGACATATAGACCAATGGAACAGAATAGAGTGCCCAGACATGGACCCTCAACTCTATGGTCAAATAATCTTCAACAAAGCAGGAAAAAATATGCAATGGAAAAGACAGTCTCTTCAATAAATGGTGCTGGGAAAATTGGGCAGCTATATACAGAAGAATGAAACTCGACCATTCTCTAACACCATACACAAAGATAAACTCAAAATGGATGAAAGACCTCAGTGTGAGACAGGAATCCATCAAAATCCTTGAGGAGAACATAGGCAGTAACCTCTTCGACATCGGCCACAGCAACTTCTTTCAAGATACCGCTCCAGAACAAGTGAAACAAACGTGAAAATGAACTTTTGGGACTTCTTCAAGATAAAAAGCTTCCGCACAGCAAAGGAAACAATCAACAAAACAAAGAGTCAACCCACAGAATGGGAGAAGATATTTGCAAATGACACTACAGATAAAGGGCTGCTATCCAAGATCTATAAAGAACTTTTCAAACTCAACACCCAAAAAACAAATAATCAAGTCAAAAAATGAACAGACACTTCTCCAAAGAAGACATACAAATGGCTAACAGACACATGAAAAAATGTTCATCATCAGTAGCCATCAGGGAAATTCAAATCAAAACCACATTGAGATACCACCTTACACCA